TGATCATCATTCCTATCCATATTCTGAATTCTGTCATTTCAGCCTTTTCAACCCTGTTTAGAATCCTTGCTGAAGAGGTGATGCAGTCATTTGGAGGAAAGAGGGCCCACTGGCATTTTGAGTTGTCAGGGTTCTTGTGCTTGTTCTTTCTCATCTTTGCAGGCTTGTCCCTCTTCAATGTTTGAGGTTGCTGTCCTTTGGATGGGTTTTTTTCCCCTTTATCCTATTTGATGGCCTTGAGTGTTTGATTGTAATATAAGGTGGATTCAGCCAACTGGATTAATTTCTGGAACATTTTAGGGGACAGTGCTGAGCTCCCAATTTCTGGACTGTGCATTCTAACACAACTTGGGGACTTGTATTGGGCCCCAACTTTGTTCTCTGGCTCCTCAAGGTTAGGAATCCACTGTACTGGGTAGGGCGAGATACTCCCAGACTGCTGGCCACTCCACTTTGGCTGGTGTTGTAAGCCAAAGTGTTTCATAGTGCAGTGACAGCAGGATCTGTCCCCATTCACATGTGCCAGTAGTAGTGGGTACAGCAGCTGTGTCAGAGTACAAGCAGGTTGCGGGGAACCTGCCTCCCTGCAGGTGTTCACCAACATGACAGAGGCAACACAGCTAGGCAGGGCTGTAGCCCCTGTTGCAACTTTTGTGCAGTCACAGTGGAGGTGGTGTTAGTGCTGGGTTGGGACACTGGTGGGCACAGGTCTGGGTGCCTTCTCTGTGTCCTGCAAGCAGAAGTGGTCACTCAGGATAGAGGAGGATCTGCTGTTCTCTGCACAGTATCAGGGTAAGGGTGGGGCACTGGCAAGGCAGGGCTGGCTGGCTCTGTGACCGCCAAGGCTCCCATCTGCAATGGCAGTGGGAGCAGGGGGCCAGCTGCCCTCCCACATCCTAGCCCATATTTAATGAAAAAATGAAAGCAAAACCTTCCAGTGCAGATACAAGCCAGTAAAGCATTGTGGGGAGTTGCCATGGGTCCTGGTAAAGCTGAAGTAAGGGGAGGGAGCATGTGGGCTGGTGCATGGCATAGGGTTGCCCCAGTGGAACTCTCCCCCAGTCAAACACAATCTGTGTAGAAACTGTGGTGTGGGGCCCCCAGGTCACCTGAGGCTGCCTTGCAAGCAGGCGTGGCCACACTCAGGCCCCAGGAGAGGCCAGCTGACCAAGGGGTGCTCAAGTTAGACCAGCCCCATCTGATGGGCAAGACCACCCTGCAGAGTTCAGGACCAACAATTCCCCTAGGGCTGACATCTCCCATGGGAGCATGGGAATGGCCTATGGGAATGGCCATCCCTGGCTGTGCACCACTATAGATGCTCCCGCACCAAACCCCCTGGGCTCCACATCAGCTGGCTTGCTACCCCTAAGACTTCTCTGAGCAGCTCTCCATGCCAGGTCAAGGGCTCTCTTTCTGCCAGGGTTCCAGAGGCCATTGGTAAGAGCAAGTTGCTTCTTAATAGTTCAACTCACCTTTTCTCCAGAGTCATTGAGGACCAGGCTATTTTCTGTCTTTTTTTTTTTTTTTGAGACGGAGTTTCGCTCTTGTTACCCAGGCTGGAGTGCAATGGCGCAATCTCGGCTCACCGCAACCTCCGCCTCCTGGGTTCAGGCAATTCTCCTGCCTCAGCCTCCTGAGTAGCTGGGATTACAGGCACGCGCCACCATGCCCAGCTAATTTTTTGTATTTTTAGTAGAGACGGGGTTTCACCATGTTGACCAGGATGGTCTCGATCTCTTGACCTCGTGATCCACCCGCCTCGGCCTCCCAAAGTGCTGGGATTACAGGCTTGAGCCACCGCGCCCGGCCTTTTTTTTTTTTTTTAATAATAGCCACCCCAGTGGGTGTATAGTGCTATTGTTTTATGTTTTTTATTTGTGTTTCCTTAATTATCTTCCTTGGAGAAATGTCTATTCAAGTCATTCATCCATTTTTTTAAAAAGAGGTTATTGTTGAGTTGTAGGAGTTCTTTATATATTCTGGATATTAACCCCTTATCAGTTATATGATATATAAATGTTTTTCCCAGTCACTAGGTTGCCTTTTCACTCTGTTGATTGTGTCCTTTGAGGCACAGAAGTTTTTAAATTTTTGATGTAGTCCACCTTATCTATTTTTTGTTGTTGCCTATGCTTTTGGTGTCATTTTCAGGAAATCATTGCCTAACGTCACAAAGCTTTCTCCTGTCTTTTCTTTTAAGTGTTTTATTATTCTGGCCCTTACATTTAGGTCTTTGATCCATTTTGAGTTGATTTTTGTATATTGTGTAAGATAAGTGTCTGACTTCATTCTTTTTGCATGTAGATATCTAATTTCCCAGTTCTGTTTATTGAAGCTGCCTTTTCCCCACTGAATGGTCTTGGCATTCTTGTCAAAAGGATGGTACCTTGGCCCCTTGACCATAAATGTGAGGCTTTATTTCTGGCCTATTTTATCCCATTGTTTTATAAGTCTGTCTTTATACTAATTCAACATTGTTTTGATTGCCATAGCTTTGTGGTAAGTTTTGAAATCAGTAAGTATGAGACCTGCAATTTTATTCCTCTTTCTCAAGATGTTTTTGGCTATTCCAGCTCACTTGTGATTCCATATTAATCTTAGGATGGATTTTCTTTTCTGCAAAAAAATGCCATTAGAATTTTGTTAGGAATTGCATTGAATCTGTAGATCACTTTGGGTAGCATTTACATCTTTAATAACAATATTAAGCCTTCTAACTCATGAATACAAGATGTATTTCCATTTATTGGTATCTTTTATTTCTTTAAGCAACATGTGTAAAAGTCTTTTGTCTCCTTAGTTAAATGTATCCTAAATATTTTATTCTTTTTGATGCTATTGTAAATGGAATTGTTGTCTTAATTTCATTTCAGATCGTTCATTGTTAGTGTATAGAAATGCATTAGAAATGCATTTGATTTTTTGTGTGGATTTTGTGTTCTGCAACCTTACTGAATTTATTTATTAGTTCCAACAGGTTTTTTGGGGATTCTTTAGGATTTTCTACATATAAGATTATGTCATCTGAAAACAAAGCATTTTACTTCTTCCTTTTCAATATAAATGTCTTTTATTTCTTTTTCTTGCCTAATTTCACTGGTTAGGACTTTCAGTACTACGTTGAATAAGTGCCAAAAGTGAGCATTCTTATCTTGTTTCTGATCTTAGAGGAAAAGCTTTCAGTCTTTTACCATTCTGTTTGATGTTAGCTATGGGCTTTCAGCTGATATTTCAAACTATAGTTTGTTACATAGTTGCCATACTTTTACTTCTAGGAAATGATGGTAAAGCTGCTAAAAATGTCTTGCTTTTTCCATGAGAAACATTTGAATAGCTAAAATAGCATCCACAAAAATCGTCAAAGAATATTGAAAGACAAGCCATAAAAGAGATTATAGAACTAGTGAACAAATATGAGAAACACAGGTTATCTAAGACCATTAAAGCAAGCCAGGCATGGTGGCTCATGCCTGTAATCCCAGCACTTTAGGAGGCTGAGGTGGGTGGATCCCTTGCAGACAGAAGTTCGAAACCAGCATGGCCAATATGGTGAAACCCCGTCTCTACTAAAAATACAAAAATCAGGCAAGCATGGTGGTACGTGCCTGTAATCCCAGCTGCTTGGGAGGCTGAGACACAAGAATTGCTTGGACCCTGGAGGTGGAGGTTACAATGAAGCGAGATTGCGCCATTGCACTCCAGCCTGGGTGATGGAGCAAGTGTCTGTCTCAAAAAAAAAAAAAAAGAAAAACAAATAAGACCATTAAAGCAATAAGAAATCACCTTTTTTTTTTTTTTTTTTTTTTTTTTTTTTTGAGACAGATGGAGTCTTGCACTATCGCCTAGGCTGGAGTGCAATGTCACAATCTCAGCTTACTACAACCTTCGCCTCCCAGATTCATGCGATTCTTCTGCCTCAGCTTCCTGAGTAGCTGAGATTACAGGCACACACCACCACACCCAGATAATTTTTTGTATTTTTAGTAGAGACGGAGTTTCACTGTGTTGGCCAGACTGATCTTGAACTCCTGACCTGATGATCCACCCACCTCAGCCTCCCAAAGTGCTGGGATTACAGGCGTGAGCCACCACACCTGATGAGAAATCACCATCTTCTTATATGGAATTAACATAATTATTGAAAATGTAAATAAAACCCAATGGTGGCAAGTCTATGGTGTCACTGGAACTCTGATACTTTGATGTCACTTTGGAGAGCAAACTGTTCTGTGTGCTTTATATGCCTCATTCTATTAGTATTTATAGTAACTTTGAGATATACTATTCCCCTGTATTTTAATTGAAGAGAACAAGACACAGAGGGATTAAATAACTCGTTCGAGGATACAAAACTAGATATTGATAGGCCCCAGATATGACCACAGCCTATACTCCTGACCTCTGTGCTCTGTTACCATATAAATGTGTAGACCTTCTGACCCAGTAATCCCGTTCCATTCAGATGACTTAGTCCTTAGGAAAGAAGATAGATGGGATAGAGCAGGGGTTGGGACTGCATACTTTTATTCAGAGTCTACTATTAACTATCTGGTGTTGGATGTTCTGAAAACCTAGCAATTTAAGACAAGACAAAAATATACATCCAGTCCGGGTCTTTAGGAAAAGTTTTTTTTTTTTTAGACAAGGTCTTGTTTTGTTGCCCAGGCTGGAGTGCAGTGGCGCAATCATGGCTCACTGCAGCCTTTACCTCCTGGACTCAATTGATCCACCTGACTCAGCCTCCTGACTAGCTGGGACTACCAGCACATGCCACCAGTGATTTTAGTTGCTAATTAAAATGTGGCAACTCCTATGGACAAAGAGTGTTGTTTGGTCTCAGGTGACCTGAATGCTCCAAAGCTGTAATGGCCCTACCACGCCTTTCTAGCTCATCAGCAGAATATTATTTCCTATTTGCCTAATTCAGGGCTACAGACATTTCAAGCCGCATTACTTTTGAATTAAAGTGGGGTTTCTGGAACTGTTCTCTTTCCCAGGGAGCTCATCCGCTGTTTGAAGTGGTATATGGACTGTTCAGCAGAACTGATTCGGCAGGACCACATTCAAGAAGCTATGCGGGTAATGTACTAAACTCTCCATGCATAAGAGGCCCACTCCTGCAATTATTTGTGAGTAATCTCAGTGATATAATGTGCAGGACAAATGTAGACATCACAGTACAGTACACTGGCCTGCTTTCAGGAACGACTATCTTGATCCACATAATTTCTCTTTCCTTACCTTGATTTTGTCCGAGAAAGCCTTTATTCCTGATAATTTTATCTTGAAGGAGGAAGGGATGATGTGCGCATGGCTCCTGTCCATCCTCCCCTGCCTGATTTTTTACCCATAGTGTCAGTCCTTCCTTCCACTGGCTAAAATATTGTAACTCCTTCTAAGCCAATGTTTGTAACAACATTGATTAAATTAGGATCTTCTAATAGTATTATCTTTTTTGGTAGTTACTAAGCATTGATTTTTTGAACTGTTTTAAGCAAAAAGAGCTGAGCGGATGCACTGTAAGTGGATTTGTTTCAAACAAGATAATCTTAAAATTGTGGCCTTAGGAAGAACCTCTGGTCTTCCATGGTCGTGACCATTGCCAGCATCCCTGCTTGGACAGGTTCCCGGACAAGGCAGCCCTTTGCATTGCTATGTAGCTCCAATTGACAGGGAACTGTTCTCATTGTGAGTTAACTCCACTGTCTAGTAACGTCTTTTCATGGCTACTGCTTCTGCTGTAAAGAAAAGCAAAGTAGTTTTGCTTTATTTCTGTCCTCTTTTAATAGCATGTCATCTGCACCAAGTACTGGACCTGTATTTTTGTATTTTCCACATCGTTAGCATGTGTAACAGAATGTTTTCTCAAGCATTATAAAACTGAAGGAGCAAAATCAAATCATAGATTTGCATTTACTCTGCCTATTCTTTGCACATTCTGTAAAAAAGTCTGAGGCTACAAGGCTCATTTCTGTCTTCTTTCATACAAATGTCTACTGAGCACTACTATCCGTCCTAGGGGATAAGATGCAGTGATGAATAAGACCACCCCATCTTCTTGAAGAACACATCTGCAATGTCCTAAGGGGAGGCAGGCACAAACACAAGTGTAGAGCAGGGTGCTGAGGCATGTGAGGAAAGGGCCTGAGTTCTCTTCTCAGAACCCTAGCACCTCTCAGGTGCCTAACACAATATTTGAAGGGATAAAAGTTGAGTTAAATGCAAAAGATTCTATATGAGCCTAAAAAATTATTGCCTAAGCATACTGGAGAAAGCAACACAGAAGTTATTTTCTCCTAAAAATCATTCATTTATTCATTCAGTCAGTCAATGTTGCTTGATACTTACCATGCTTCAGACACTGTACTAACCACTGGAGATTCAGGAGGGGCCCAAACAAAAATGGCTACGGCTTCATAGTACTTTCATTCAAGTGGGGAAAGACATACAATATATGTAAAACAGATAAATACATGTATTTATCCTAGTTCTAATGTTGCCACCAACATTGGCTTACAAAGTCAATTAAAAAAAAAAAAAAACTAAAAAACTTTGCTGGCCATGGCAGCTCACACCTATAATCTCAGCACTCTGGGAGGCCAAGGCAGGAAGATCACCTGAGGTCAGGAATTCACGATCATCCTGGCCAACATGGCGAAACCCCATCTCTACTGAAAATACAAAAATTAACCGGGCATGGTGGCATGCGCCTGTAATCCCAGCTGCTCAGGAGGCTGAGGCACAAGAATTGCTTGAACTTGGGAGGCAGAGGTTGCAGTGAACTGAGATGGCGCCACTGCACTCCAGCTTGGGTGACAGAGCAAAACTTCATCTCAGGAAAAACAGCAACAAGGACAGAGACAAGATGGCCATTTAGGAACAGCTCAGGATTGCAGCTCCCAGTGAAAGCGCAGAGGGTGAGTGGACGCCACATTTCCAGACGGATTTTTATTGCCCACAGACCAGGAGATTCCCAGGCGGAGGAGCCCCACAGGTTGCCAGCGCGACTGTTTTGGCCAGCGCGGCCATTTCGGTCCCCGCAGCTGTTTTGGCCCGTGCAGCTGCTTTGCGGCACCCCAGCACGGCAGTTCTCTGTACAAAATATACTGGTCCGGGTGCCCTTTTAGCTGGCGATTGGAGCCCCGGCAAGGCACAGTCACCCATTCATCTGGCTAAAAAGGGGTCTGAAACAGGGAGCCAGGCCAGGAGATTCCGGGCAAAAAAAAAAAAAAAAAGCCCCATGAATCTCAGAGCCGCTGTTTAAGCCAGCGCAGTGAGTTGCCGCAGGGGAAAGCACACAGATCCTGGTGTCTTTTCAACAGGCGACTAGAAGACCTTGGAGAGAGTCAACCGTTCAACTAAAAAACAAAAGGCTCTGAGGCAGGGAGCCAGGTGATCAGGCTCGGCTGGTCCCACCCCACAAAAGAAAAGCAATCAGAAACTCTTTGGATTGAGAGTTTCACAGCAAGCACAGCTGAACCCAGAACGGTCCAGCTCTGTGGGGGAGGGGCGTCAACAATTGCCAAGGCACTCCACCACTACAGAGGTAGTCCGCCATTGCTGAGGCAGCCTGCCATTACAACGAGAGTCCGCCATTACAGAGGCAGGACACCAATGCTGAGACAGTCCTAACTACACCCATATAAACAGGACTGCAGGGAAGTTCACACGACAGCTGGGCGGAGCCCACAGTAGCTCAGCAAAGCCTCTGCAGGCAGACAGTGACTAGGCTGCCTCCTTGCTGCACAGGGCAGCCCTGAAAAAAAGGCAGCAGCACAACGGAAACTCATAAAGCCCTAACTCCCTGGGACAGAGCACCTGGGGGAAAAAAAAGGTGTTTATGAGTTCTGCTGCAGCAGACCTAAACATACCTGCCCAGCAGCCCTGAATGAAAAACGTAGCTCACAACTCAGCACTTGAGCTCATATAAGGGATAGACTGTCTCCTCAAGCAGCTCCCTGACCCCCGTATATCCAAGGAGTCACTTCATAAAGGAGAGATCAGACTGACATTTAGCAGGTGTCCTTCTGGGACAAAGATAGCAGAAAAAGAAACTGGTAGCAACTGCTACTGTTCTGCAGCTGCTGCAGGTGATCCCCAGGCAAGCAGGGCCTGGAGTGGACCTCAGCAGCCCTACAGCAGAGGGTCCAGACTGTTAGAAGGAAAACTAAGAAACAGAAATAACTTCATTATCAATAAATTGGACGTCCACTCAGAAACCCAATCTGAAAGTCGGCAACTACAAAGACGACAGGTGGATAAATCCACAAAGATGGGAATAAACCAGCGCAAAAAGGATGAAAACAGCCGAAACCAGAACACCTCTCCTACAAGGGATCAGAACTCCTCACCAGCAAGGGAACAAGGCTGGATGGATAATGAGTTTGATGAAATGACAGAATCAGACTTCAGAAGGTGGGTAATAAGGAACTTCCGTGAGCTAAAAGAACATGTTCTAACCCAATGCAAAGAAACTAAGAACCTTGAAAAAAGATTTGATTGAAATGCTAACAAGAATGGACAAATTGGAGAGGAATATAAGCGAATTGATGGAGCTGAAAAACACAACACGAGAACTTCGTGAAGCATGCACAAGTTTCAACATCCGAATTGACCAAGCAGAAGAAAGGATATCAAAGGTCGAAGATCAACTCAATGAAATAAAACGAGAAGGCAAGTTTAGAGAAAAAAGTGTAAAAAGGAATGAAAAAAAGTCTCCAAGAAATGTGGGACTATGTGAAAAGACCTAATCTACGTTTGATAGGTGTACCTGAATGTGACGAAGAGAATGAATCCAAGCTAGAAAATACTCTTCAGGATATTATCCAGGAACACTTCCCCAACCTAGCAAGGAAGGCCAACATTCAAGTCCAGGAAATACAGAGAACACCACAAAGATATTCCCCAAGAAGAGCAACCCCAAGGCACATAATCGTCAGATTCACCAGGGTTGAAATGAAGGAGAAAATGTTAAGGGCAGCCAGAGAGAAAGGTCGGGTACCCACAAAGGGAAGCCCATCAGACTCACAGCTGATCTCTCAGCAGAAACTCTATAAGCCAGAAGAGAGTGGGGGCAATATTCAACATCCTTAAAGAAAAGAACTTTCAACCCAGAATTACATATCCAGCCAAACTAAGCTTCATAAGTGAAGGAAAAATAAAATCCTTTGCAAACAAGCAAGTACTCAGAGATTTCATCACCACCAGGCCTGCTTTACAAGAGCTCCTGAAAGAGGCTCTACACATAGAAAGGAACAACCAGTACCAGCTACTCCAAAAATAAACCAAATTGTAAGGAGCATCAACACAATGAAGAATCTATATCAACTAATGGGCAAAACAGCCATCTAGCATCAAAATGGCAGTATCAAATTCACACATAACAATATTAACCCTAAATGTAAATGGACTAAATGCCACAATCAAAAGACACAGACTGGCAAATTGGATAAAAAGACAAAACTCATCAGTTTGCTGTATCCAGGAAACCCATCTCACATGCAAGGATACACAAAGGCTCAAAATAAAGGGATGGAGGAAGATTTACCAAGCAAATGGAGAGCAAAAAAAAGCAGGAGTTGCAATTCTCGTCTCTGATAAAATAGACTTTTAAGCAACAAAGATCAAAAGAGACAAAGAAGGACACCACATAATGGTAAACGTATCAATGCAACAAGAAGAGCTAATGATCCTAAATATATACGCACCCAATACAGGAGCACCCAGATACATAAGGCAAGTTCTTAATGACTTACAAAGAGACTTAGACTCCCACACAATAATGGTGGGAGATTTTAACACCCCATTGTCAATATTAGATAGATCAACCAGACAGAAAATTAACAAGGATATCCAGGACTTGAACTCAGACCTGGACCAAGCAAACCTAATAGACATTTACAGAATTCTCCACCCCAAATCCACAGAATATACATTCTTCTCATCACCACGTCACACCTACTCTAAAACTGACCACGTAATTGGAAGCAAATCACTCCTCAGCAAATGCAAAAGAACAGAAACAGTCTCTCAGACCACAGTGCAATCAAGTTAGAACTCCAAATTCAGAAACTAACTCA